CACACACACATACACACAAACACACACACACACACACACACACACGCAAACACACACAAAAGACCAAAACACAATAAGGAAACGATTAACCAGCCAGGCGATCTCGAGCCTTCGCCTTCCACCCCCGGTTTCCTCCTAACCCTCTCGCCTTCCCCCTCCCACCAGCCCCCCTATCTCTCTCACACACACAAAAAGAAAAACAAAAAAACACGAACGAAAAAGACGATCAAGCCACACACATCAAAAGAAAAACGAAAAAACAGAAAACCCATCACCCTTTTCCGTCCTCCTTACCCTCTCGCCTTCTCCCTCGCACACACTAAAAAAAAGAAAAAGAAAAAAAAAAACGAACAAGACGATCTAGCCATACGCAAACAAAAGAAAAACGAAAAAAAAAGAAAACTCTTCATTTTCCCTCCTACTAACCCTCTCGCCTTCCCTCTCCCAGCCCCCGTCTCTCTCACGCACACAAAAGAAGAAACACAAAACAAAAAACGAAAAAGACGATCGCGCAAGAAAAACGAAAAAGAAAGACAATGAAAAAGACGATCGAGCCACGTGGCTGCACCATGTAATGTGCGTTTTACCCCCCGCAAGTCCCCTCAACCCTCCCCACATGGCGCAGCTTGTCTCTTTACCCACTCCCTTCCCTCAAATGTGGCACATGTCCTCCTTTCACCTGATCCCATCTCCCCGCAATGGCTGCACTTGTCCTGCGTCGTCCCGATCTTAAATACTCAATGACTGCCACACCCATCTTCCTTTTCCCTTGTCCTTACTCCCCCACCTCCTCCTCTCCCTCCCATTGCATTTGGATCCCAAGACCTTTTCCACCCTGGTCATCAAGAACCCAATCCCATCATCATGTCCCACCGTCATGGTCGCTTGTTTCCCTCTCCACTCCTTCCCGATGTTGCTGCCTCTACTCATTTTTCCGATCAGGAGAGAAAAACAAAACCACTATAGCATGCTTCTCCCATTTACCCTTTCCCTCTCCATCCCCTGCCCCCCT